TATATATATATATTAAAATAGAAAGTAGTTATTTTTAATTGTAATATATTATTTAACTTTTACTGTATTTTTCATCAAATAAATTCAGCCTTTATAAGCATAAGAGCTTTTGTTTCTTCAAAAACATTTTACAAATATGACACCAAACTTTTACATTGACAATGTAACTTGTAGGAGTATACTAGCATAACAGCCATGGATTAAAGCCTCATTTAAATCTAGTTAATTGGATACTATATTAAAGACAGAACACTAATTCAGCTGTGTTTTCAATCTAGTCAGAACAAAAGTGTGTCCTTCCGGATTCGCTGATGTCTAGGTATTCAGGATGTCAGTCAACATGTACAGTGGTCATATGGAAGCCCAAGTGCTGTTCTGGGTACTACGGCAGAGACTGTCTTGGTAAGCAGTGTCTCACTGTACTATTCACAGTAAACAGCTGACATAGACCCCAGTTCAAACTATTGAGCTATGCTGGTTAAATATAATACAATGGCTACAAGTATACACACCCCTTTTGATATGTACAGATAGAACATATTAACCATTCCATTTTTTACATCTCAAAAACCTGCAATTTTAACAGGGAAATGTAGACTTTTTATAGCAGTTATTTTGCCAGTTGATAAGAACATTTTCCTGTTCTCCAGCATGTCCTGGGGGTCCAGGATCCCCTTGCAGTAACCATGGCAAGTGTGACGAGGATCACTTAGGCAATGGCACCTGTACTTGCGATGCTGGATTCACAGGTGTAGCCTGTGAGCTGTGTGGGGATGGCCATTTTGGACCAGATTGCAAAGGTGAGCCTTTTCAAAATACATTTAAATTGACTATATAAAAAATTATATATATATTATATAATTATGAACTTGGTTTGTTTCCTCTTCCTAAGCCTGCAACTGTACAGAACATGGGTCATGTGATGAGAGTCCTAAAGGTACAGGTTCGTGTTTTTGTGTACAGGGCTGGACTGGTCCACGATGTGAGAACAAACTAGGTACAGACCTTCTGGTTATTCTTTTGTTTTTGAGTTATATACCAGACTAGAAAAAGACAAGCATTGCTTTATACCTGTAAGTCCATTTCATGTGTTTCTGATGTTTCAGCCGATGGTCCTGTCTGCAATCCGGCTTGCCATGAGAAGGGTGTCTGCATGGAGAATAACACCTGTGTGTGTAAACCCTTCTATGAAGGAGACGGTATCACCTGCACAGGTACATACATGAAGATCTCAATAGCAAAAGGGATGATAAAACAAAAGTAAACCATCCACTCACTCTTACCTCTTTGGCAGCGGCCAATATGTGCAAGTACTGGAACGGTGGCTGTTCTAAGGATGCTAAATGCAGTCAGAAGGGGGAGAAGGTGAGCTGTACGTGTTTCAAAGATTTCTCTGGCGATGGCTTTGAGTGCTCACCGGTCGACCCCTGTGCTGATGGTGAAAACGGTGGGTGTCACGAACACGCTACCTGCACCATGATTGGAGCTGTAAGCAGACCTTTCTCTTATTATAGCTATTTTAAGAGAATGTGATCTTTATACAGACACATAAACCTTTACACATCCATAAACATATGCAATGTGCATTTGTCACCAGGGAAAGAGGAAGTGCGAGTGTAAAGACAACTATATTGGCGATGGGATTGAGTGTGAAGTGAAGCAGTTGCCAGTCAATCGCTGTCTACAAGATAATGGACAGTGCCATTCAGATGCTCAGTGCACGGACCTGCACTACGAGGGTATGTTTTTTATATGCACTATTGCCATGGTCAAAATCTCAAAAAAATGTTGGGTATTATAAAATGTGCTGGAGACGTTTGAAATGCTTTTTGTGTAATGCAGTTTATTTCATGGCTTAAATAAATGACCTGTTACTCAGAGACAAGAACAGGATTTTTAAAAAATACAATTAATTTATTTAAGAATTATTTAAAAAATGTATTTAAATACATTTGTATTTTTTCTTAAATGTTATAATTTTACATTAATTCAAATGTCATTTTAT